AACAACTCCCTTAGTCAGAGGGTCTGCAATCATCCAATATGTAGATATCTAACAGATATTGATCTTTTTCAATCTCACCTCATTTCTCAGGTGATAAAAATAAGGCTTAATATACTTGGAGTTCTTGTGAAACCGAGGCCCCTTAGAGACGCAAATAACAGCAGTGTTGTCGCAAAAAAATTGCTGCCTCACAACGTACATGATGAAAATTAAGTTGATTAAGAAACTTCTTAATCCACACGGCCTCCTTGGCTGCTATACAACATGCCACATACTCGGATTCTATAGTGGACAAGGCCACAATATCTTGTTTCTTTGAGTTCCAAGAAACCACACCCCCTCCAAGCATAAACACATACCCAGATGTAAACTTCGCATCATCTGGATTCGTGAGATAGCTTGCATTTGAATATTCCTCTATTGCTTTTTCAATTCTCCCTGTATATGTGAGCGCATAGTTCATGGTCCCCTTTAAATATATGAGAATTCTTTTTACAGCTTTTCAATGCTCCTCTGCTAGATTACTTTGGAAATGGCTCACCAGACTCATGACGAAGGACAATCAGGCCTTGTCCCCATCATGACATATATAAAGACCCAACTGCGGTCCTATATGGTACTCTTTTCATGACTCTTATATCTAAGTCTTCGGTACGACACATTTTATTACTAAACTTCATCTTTTTGTCAACTAGGGTTGACATGTGCTTACATGTACTCATATCAAACTTTTCTTGTATCTTCTTACAGTAGGTTGCCTGGGAAAGTTGGATAATCTTCTCTCTTCTGTTTCTTATTATCTTGATGCCCAACACGTATGAAGCTTCTCCAAGATCCTTCTTATTGAAGTGTTGTGCAACGAAATTTTTCGTCTCTACTATTAGAGCAATTGAGCTACTAACAATTGACATATCATCCACATATAACAATATAAAGACCATATCATTGCCACTGACCTTTTGATATATGCAATAATCCTCATTATTTGTGGAGAACCCTGCAAGAGCAAGAGTCTCTTGGAATTTTATATACCACTGTCGCGATGCTTGTTTCAGGCCATAAAGGGATTTATTGAGTTTGCTTACTAGGTTGTCTTTCCTTTCTCCTCAAATCCCTCAGGTTGGGTCATGTAAATTTTTTCTTCTAAATCCCCATTTTGAAAGGCTGTTTTGAAATTCATTTGATGAATCTCAAAGTCAAATAGGCTGCTATAACTATAAGGATTCAGATGGATGGAAATTTGGCAACAGGGGAAAACGTTTCCTCATAATCTATCCTTTCTTTCTAAGTGAAACCCTTTGCAACCAACCTAGCTTTGTACTTTTTTATTTTCCCTTCAGAGTTCAACTTTTTCTTGAAAATCCACTTACAACCAATGACCTTACGTTTTGGCGATAGAGGTACTAATTCTCATTCATGGTTTTGGTTAATGGAAGCATACTAATCTTTCATGGCTTCTACCCAGTATTCCCTTTCAGGATAGGTCAAGGCTTCAAAGTGAGTTCTAGGTTCTGAATCTGGATCTTCTCCAACCTTATCAAAATGTTCTCCAAGGTAGACACAATGTTCTAGGTAAAGAGGTGGTCTAAGGACTCAGTTACTTAGTCTTGGTTCAGGTAAATGTTCACTTTCTATAGGGAGTTCAGAATCAGGTTGAATTGGTTTAAAAGTTTCAGGTTCAGGGTCTTGAACTACATCCTTGTTTTGGGCCTCCTCAAAAAAGTCGGCTTGTTTTCTGCTCACCCTTGCTTCAAAGAACTCTTCCTCGAAAAAGTGAGCATCGCGGCTTTCAATAACTGCACTTGTTTCAAGGTTGTAGAATCCATACCCCTTACCATGATTTGGGTAACCAATTAAAATAGATTTGATAGTTTTGGATTGCAATTTGGTTCTATTTTGATGTGGGATAAGGACATGTGTTGAGCAACCCCAAACTTTCAAGGGTTCAAGGGGAGGAGTACGACCTGTGAAAATTTCGTGAGGAGTAAGTGTGGCAGCTTTTGTGAGAGTCCGGTTAAGAATATAACATGCCGTTAATACAACTTCTCCCCAAAAATCCGATGATAGATTTGTATGCCTCATCATGCTCCTTACCATTTCTACTAAGGTCCTATTCCGTCTCTCTGCTATACCATTTTGTTCACGAGTATAAGGCATAATATACTGATGAATGATCCCATTTTCAATGCACAATTCTTTGAAAAGATCAGATGAATATTCTCTCCCTCTATCGATTTTAAGGACTTTAATTTTCAGGTTGGTTTGATTCTCTACCTAGGCCTTATATTCTTTGAATTTTTCTAGGGCTTCTGATTTTGCATGAATA